AGTTCTATCTGGCCTTGGGGGTTAGACAATGGAAGAAAGTAAACAGACGGAGAAGGAAGAGCCACCAAGAGGCTACGAATAGCAAGACACAAGGAATCTAGGAGCCTGAAGACTTCCCCTGGATAGTTGACTGTTTATCCAAAATATGGTCGGAGAGGAGGGGGTAAATAGCAGAAAGCAGATTATGACATTCAGGCAAAGTGGCAAGAACATAACAAGGAGACTGACAAATGGATAGAAATCTTCGGACACCATCTGGTCTTATATAGAACTGAAACTTTCTAAAATTGTAAGTTCTATCTGGCCTTGGGGGTTAGACAATGGAAGAAAGTAAACAGACGGAGAAGGAAGAGCCACCAAGAGGCTACGAATAGCAAGACACAAGGAATCTAGGAGCCTGAAGACTTCCCCTGGATAGTTGACTGTTTATCCAAAATATGGTCGGAGAGGAGGGGGTAAATAGCAGAAAGCAGATTATGACATTCAGGCAAAGTGGCAAGAACATAACAAGGAGACTGACAAATGGATAGAAATCTTCGGACACCATCTGGTCTTATATAGAACTGAAACTTTCTAAAATTGTAAATGAATAAGAATGCAGGCAAACATACAAACCCATTATGATCTTGAAATGCTTCCTGGAATAGGGACAACTATCATATACCTTTTTGGGAAAGAACAGTGGTTGGCCAACTTCAGGCAGCACCCTTTCAGTGTTCCTTCACTCAAAAATAGTGAAAATCTACCAGAGAGTAAGCTTAATCTCAGATACATGGTGAGATCAGGGGCAGGCTTTGCTTTTTGTGGAACACCGGTAGAATTGAGAGGGTGAAGTGTGAATAGCTGGGAGATATTTAGTATGGCTAGAACCAGAGAGTAATGGGGAGATAGGATGATCCTGGACACACACAGGTGGATCCCAGTATCAGAGGGCTTATGATATCAATCAGATATCAATGATATCAATGGCTTATGATAAGCCACTTTAAATGTTTTGGTTGGGGCATATCTTAGACAAAATAAGGTCACTGGAGAATTTTTATTTGAGTTTATTAAAAAGTTTTTGAATACATGCACAAGGTAAAAAAATTAAATAGTACAGAAGGACTTGAAATGGAAAACACTGTTTCCCACCCTACCCCTTTTAACCCTAGACCCATTCCCTAGAGGCAATGCATTTAACAATTTCTATATTTAGATCTTCTGTTGACTAACTTGCTAACATTAAATAATATGTCTGGACCATAATTCTTGATTAACTTTAGACAATCTTTAATAATTTCCCATTACAAAAGATAAGGATTTAACTGACACTACCCCTGGCTTTCCTTTGCCTATCCTTTCCCAAATTTTTGATAGATATGTCATTTTAAGACTTCTGTTGATTTAATTTATAACTTTGGACAGTATACTATCCTCCAGTTCTTGNTTGATTTAATTTATAACTTTGGACAGTATACTATCCTCCAGTTCTTGTCCCATTAACTGCAGACTTTATCTTCTCATTCCTACTGTGACTATCTAAGTAGCCCCAGTCTCCCTGCCACTTCCCTTCCCCAACCAATTCTCAACCTCTTTCTGCTCTCTTGTTTCTTAACTTGTCAGGATTAATTATTTTCCATTTCAGTTCTGAACAAAACAGTAAGCCATTCATGTTTCGTCTCTAGACTGATCAGAACACTGAATACCAACAAATAGCCACTGCATTACTTTGGCTAAGTACATCATGTTTCCTGAGAGCTGAGTAGAAACATATGGGAGAGACATTTTCTCCCATACATATTCAGTGTTCATGAATCCTGTGCTACTTGTAAGGAGAAGTACCTACCACCAATGTCCAGCTGAGGCTCTTCTTACATCCCAGGAGTTTTTGTTGTTTCACAATTGGACCTGAACGTCTTGACACATTTCCGTTTTCTTTTTGCAGAGTAAAGAATGTATGTCTCCATACTCTCAAACATTCCAGCTTCTCAAGGAAACTATGGAACAGAATGCATACTTTCTCCAAAGAGAAAGATGTACCCTCATCTCAAATGGGTCTGCTAGAATGACACATCCTGCTGGACAACTGTCACTCTAGAGTGAGACATCCTGGGTGAGATCCATTGTTTTCTGGATTCTATATTTTCCTCTTTCCTTGGGTTTCCTTTTCATTTTGTCAGAGAACTTCGTCAATGTACTTCCACAGAAAAGATTCGAAGTTGGTCGACTGAAAAGTTGCATGTCAGAAAGTGTCTTTATTTTGACACTACTTGTGACAGTTTGGCTTGCAATAGTATTCTGAGTACAAAAATCTTCCATAAGCCAAGAAATTGCTCCACTGGCTTCTAGCATTCAGTGTTGCTAATGAAAAATCTGCTGCCAGTCTATTTCTTATTCCTTTTTTGGTTGAGCTAAAGGTGATAACTTTATTTTCTCTGTGGACACTTTTAATATGTTCCCTGTAGACTTAATATTCCAAAAGTTCACAAGATTCTGTCAAGATATAGGTTTCATTGGGACCCCTCAATCTGGAGGCTTGGTTCTTTCTGTTCTTCATTTTTTGTCCATTTTACTTCTTCACCTATATTTTGTGTGTTCTTTTTTCCAGATAGTCCTAATGCTTAGATATTGATTGTCTAGATCTTTTCCTTTCCTCATTTTCTCTGCTATTTCTTTTTGTTCTATATCTAAAGGACTTCCTTCAACTTTATTTTCCAGCCTACCTATTGGATATTTTTGACAGTTTAATTTCACTTTCAAGGGCTCTTTTTATTCTCAGTTTCTCCTTTGTTTATAGCATTCTGAACTCGTCTTACAATTATACCTGCAATCTCTCTGAAGATACAGATTTTAAAGTTATTCTTTCCACGTTCACTTTGTTTCCTCTAGAGTTTGTTGTATTTCTCAAGTCTCCAAATTCTAACTGGTAATTTTTCTTACCTGCTCCTCCCGTGTCCTCTCCCTTCAACCCCCGATGCCCAGAGACTGAGGATTCCTAGCTGACTATTTGCATTTAAGAATCAAGTAACTGTTAACTGTTACCGGGTTTGGCAGTGTATGGTTGGGTCTGTTTCTCCAATAAGCCTCTTCTAGGACTAGAAGCACTTGGGTCACTTGAGCAGGGGTTTCTATAGTCAGAGAATTAGCTGATAGGCCAGGGGGTCACTTATTTCGACAAAAAGAGAAATTTTATTCTGGGACACCAACTCCTACCTCTCCTCAGGCAGCTTATTCAATTTCTTTACAAACAATAACAAGAACAGTAGATTTTTAATGGGTACCAATAATGGTCTGCCTGTGTTCTAAGCACAATGGTTGGGGCAGGGTAGGATGGGTTTCACTTCTACAACTAGTATAACTCTTTATAGACTTTTCAGGTGCTCATATTGCTTTGGGGTTATGTTGCTCAGATCAGCTTCTCTTCTGTCTGAAAGATACCTTCAGTCTTTCATTCATTGTCATGCTTCATCCACTTTCTCTCTTCCAGAAATGTGTTGAGGTGTTCTTCACTTATAATCAAATCTGCTCAGTTTTCTTTGCCGAAATGTTTTCACTTCTCTTTTGCATTTCTTGACTTCAATTTCAGTGGGGCCTGGAAAGGGAGGGGAGGTAAACTTATATGCTCAGTTCATCATCTTATATCCAAAGTCTCATTTGAAGCTGTCAAACAGGCGACTGACATGAATAGCTTCCCATTTTAAAAAGGTCCCAGGGGCCATAATGCTAAGAATGAACTAAAGAGGACCAGGATGGATACAAATATTATTCTAGAGCACTAAGAATCTGATTTCCTTGCTGAGAATATGCAATGTCTGTTCTGGGAGTCAGGTGTTTTACCAAAATGACCCATCATTCAAATCCCAGTGCACTACTAGAATGCTTTCATGGTGCACTGGTGATGATAAATGAAACCTGACGAAACCGGAATCTAAAAGACCTCATGATGCTAAAGTGGTCTCTGTCTTTGCAAAGTACCTTAGGAGCCTACCTCAAGTTCTTTCTTTGAACTGGCATTTGGGAGAATCAAAGGGACTTTCTGTTCTGGTAAAACTGCTTGAGGGTTGAGTACAAGCAGGCAAAGAGCTGGCAAGTAGGAACATAAAGATCCTTCTGTTTGCTGGCTGGTTTCTCCATTGACTCATTCATTGCACATGCAGAGTACTGTAGTTACAAACACCCATTCTGTAATCAGAGTGCCCAGGTTCAAATCCCAGGTCTACCATTTATTAGCAGTGTAGACTTAGGCAAAGTACTTGATCTCCATAAAACTCAGTTTACTTATTCCTAAAACGGAAGCAATAAATTTCCATCTCATAAGATTATTGTGAAGATTAAATGAAACAATCTATATGAAAGAACGAGTATAGTATTTTGCATTGTAATCAAATAAAATTTGGGTCAGTCTTATCCAGTTATCTGGTTCAGAAGTCAAGATTTCTCTCTGTGTGTGAGACCTCATCTGCCAAACTGGAGAGAAACTCTGGGCAGTGTTAGGAGTCTGTGTCACCACGGAAACGTAAACACCACGCCTAAGCCGGATGCCCATTGTTTCTAAAGACAAATGCTCTCCTGGATTTGTTCTGATTTTTCAAGTGACCTCCACTCACGATTTAATCAAAGAAGGAATTCTACCTGAAAGATGGAATTGAATAAAGAGACCAAACTCCAAATAGCTATTAAGACCCCCATTATGATTTTAGAGCCTGTGGATCCTGTCGATCCTAGAGCTTATAAAGCAACAGACCCCAATCCTTTCAGAGGCTGGTGTATAAAGTGTAGGATGGAATGGATCACATTGCATCTGTAAATGCCATCTAGAGGGACAGTCTAGCTCTGAAATGATTGATTAATGTTAATTAGTAATAACAGCAGATGGCATTTTCTCAATACCAACCAACTGCTAGGCACTTTTCTGCTTTCTTTTAGAGGGACTAAAATTTAATCTTCACAATAATTCTATGAAATAGATCCCATTTGATAAGGAGTTTGTCCAGAATCATGTGACCAAGAGATGGAAGAACCAGGCTTTGGATGCAGGGAATCCACTATGAGAGATGATGGTCCTAACCTCCCAGCTATGGCGAGAGAAGGGTTGTACTCAGCTCACTACTCCGTGGACCAGCAGAACATAGAAGAATCCCCCCATTCACAATCCTCTTCAGAACTATCAGTCTGAGTCTTCAGGACAACCCTGAGAGGAAGGCATTTTTGTCCTCATCTCACACAGAAAGAAATGTGAGTAGAGATAACAATGACTTTCCCAAGAGCTAATGCTAGCTATGGGCTCTTTCTACTATACCAGACTGCTTTTCAAGCTCTTTGAGTACTGCCCAAGACACAGAATATCAAGGAACTGTCTGAGTATCCTGGTAAATTTGTGTTTCAGTGGATTCTATGGTCAGGTTTTTGGAAAAACTCGTCAAAAAACAAAAGCCCAGAGAGTCCTCGGCAGGTCAGAATGAGCACCACCCCCAAGGGCCATGGCCCACAGTGGTGAACCAAGGGCTGGCATAGAAGCAGATGCCAAAGCTCTCAGAACCAGGCCAGTATGGGGCCAGGAGGGAATCTGATAGCTGAGAGCAGAGGAACGAGACTCATAAACAGAAGGTCTGTCTCCTAAGAAATTCTGATTCCCCATTCTGCTGTGTTCTTAACCCACTTTCTAGAGATGGAGCTGTACCTACTAGATATTAAGATATGGGGGCAATGAGCTATGAGGGCAAAGCTAGAACCCTAAGAGACAGAGGTCGAGGAGTGAATCCCCATCTCTGCCTACCTCCCCAAACCTCTCTACCTGCCACCTCGCTGGGCACTCCTTACATCTGTGTGAGGAGGTATAATTTCATAATATTTTCCTTCCATTCAGGCAGATAGGCCAGGCTGGTAGCCACTTCCTTCTGGATAGGCCAGGCCCAGGCCTCAAAGAACGGAGCCAGATTCTTCTGCACTTGGTGGGAGAACATCTTCACCCACAGATTCATTTTGTCCACATTGTCTGTGGGCAAGTTGGTCTGGTTCCTATACTCAGTGAAGAGACGGATGAATGGCTCCCAACCAAAGGCCTCCTGTAGCTGGGGAGAGAAAGCAGCAGCATAAAAAGACATTTAATCCACAGAAGGAAGTCCCAACAAACACTGTAATCAACTAATATAATGTATTTAACCCCTAAAGCACTGGCTTTATTTCTGTCAGTGGCCGTCTCTGCAGTTCTCGCTGCTGGCCTCATGGGCTACTCGCTCTGCCTTATCTCAGTAGGGCGTCTGATCGAGCATGGTCTCAGCCCAGAGCAGACACTCAAGAAAGGATGGCTGTGGAAATACCTGTTAGGATTATTATCAGTATTTACCACCTATGTCATTATTCATGTAGCTCAGTCCATCGTCAAAGTGTCGGCAGGGTAGCACACAAGGATTTAAAGCTGGCCAAGGTGAAAAAAATCCTTGTATCTTTCACAGCTGCAACGTTAAATCCCCCAAACTGGGGAACTGTCCCTCTCTCCCTTACCCTGACATAACCTGCATCAGTCACAGGTCTGTGCCAATCTGTGAGGCTACTGGTGTGGCCTCTCGGAAAAAAATGTGAGTTCAGTAGAAACACAAGACGATGTACAGTCTAGGTGGATGGAATGAAGTTAAGTAAGACAGATTTTAGGAAAAGGCAGCTGTCCTGAGGCCACAGGGAATAGCCCATGTGAGGCCCAGTTATGGCTCCTTACAGTTAGGACGACACTAGCAGTTCTCTGAAACGCCCTTAGCTGGATTTCACAGGTGAGCAGCTTTTGTCCCTGGGGTGAAATGGCCCAGGGAGGAGACTAGAGTCTCCGGGCAGTTTCACTCTCATTCCCAGGGCAGTGGGTACGCACAGAGAAGTATTTGGGCAGGTGGAAGAACCCAGCTGGAGAGAGTTCCAGAATCCCAGGTGGTGAGACTCTGCATGGTGGCCTGGGAGCTGCTCCAGGGACTGGGGTGAGGGAACTGGGGTGCCGGACAGTCATTCAAAGGCAGAGGCAACCTCATGTGGAGATCAGTGAGGCATCTTGGATTGCTTCTGAGGGAGAAACTGAGGCAGTTTCTAAGGAAAAAAATGGGTCCCATCCCGTGACGTGTGGTTGGGGCGGTTGGGGGAATGGACAGGATGTTTGGTGTGAGATCGCTATTCCATGACATGGTTTGGCTTCAGTCTCTGGTAAGTCTGGCTTTAAAGCCAGCCATGGTAACTGTATAGTACTATCTTTGCCTCTGCTTTGGTCCTTTCATGAATCTCTTCAAAATCATCGTGTGAGGGTATGGCCAGGACAATTAAGTCCACTTTGGGGTCCCCACAGTGGGGTCTCCCCATCCCCATCCCTTCTTGCCCAGTACCTGTAGATACGTTTCCAGGGCAGTCCACGCATTCCAGTTTTTCACATTGGGACCCTTGCCCAGGTAGATTCGGACTCTCTTCTCTCGAACTGGGGGCCATAGAGCAATATTGGCACGACCTCGAGGGATGCCCAAGACTGTTTCATGCACGTAAACACACCACAGATTGCAGGTGGCCTCGGTGGTGTGTGGGGGGAACTCCCACTCCTGCCGCTGCTGGTTGCGGCCGAGCTCATGGACGGGTCCCCACAGCCCCTTGGTTCTGATCAGCTTCTCATTGATGAGCTCTTGCACAGATTCCAGATGGCACATGATGGGGTACCCCGCATGCATCCAGCCTGGGAATGCAGGAGGGAGGAAGAGGGGTTAGAACACACCCTCCTGCCTTTACCAAGACTACCAGAACCCCATAATGCTCAGAAGGGCAATCCACACTGACCCACCAGGGCTCTCCACCATCTTCTCTTTCTGTAACTGTGCCTCCCCCTCACTCTGACCTGAGAGGAGTGGGACTGGTGCACGTTACAAACAATCCTTCACATTACTCTTCAGCTTTTCCACGTTTGTGAGGGTGTCTTGTCTTGGGAACCTGTCTCATTATACTCTTTTCTCAATATGGAGAACTCCTGGATGGTGGCTTCCCATTTTCATTACTTAGATACAGTGTTGCCCACATTGATGCTATTTTATTGTAATCATCTCTGTAAGGCAAGAAAACTGTGGTCTAAAGAAATTTCCATCATTTTCACATTTCCACACCCCTGATTTGTTAGGCTCTTGACCCACTGGCAGAGATCTCTTCTTTCCGTGTCTTCTCAATGTTGTGTCCAACAACTGTGACCTGGGGCGAGACCCCCCACCCCTTTTACTTTCTCCTTGAAGTCCCCGATGGGATCCCTGTGAAATCCTAGCACTCTGATCCTATGCTATTCCAGCTATTGGAAGACAACCCTTGACATGCCAGCTTAGATTGTTCATAATTTCACACACTGCTCACGTACCTTCCACAGCCTGCTTTCCTCCGGTCCCATAATCCCATCGTATTTCCTTATGCCATCAAAATATTACTTTAGAAAGTGTCTGTTGGAGGTGCACACGATATATTACTTAAGCACTCCATTCTGTTAGACACTTAGGTAGTTTCCAATTTTTTGATTGGGGGATTTGGCTGAGTCTATTTTTTAAAATACATATTTCCCCCCTTTCAAGACTTATATCTTCTATGTGTTGCTAGAAAAACATTTTTACTATGTTGGCTGCCTGCTGCATGGCTTTTGGAAAAAGGGAAGGCCATTAGGGGCAGCATGCACAAAGCACCCACCAACTGAGATCTGCACGTCAGCAACGATCCTCTGAGGCAGACGCAGAGGGAAGGGCTCGGCCCCGAGCCGTGCCACGGCCTGCATCACCTCGTCCCAGAGGCGAAGCAGCGGCTCGGGGTTCTCCAGCGTTCGGAGGTTGGCGGTTGGCACTGTCAGGATGATGTTGTCCGTAGCCAGCTCTCCCCAGGGACCTGGATTCTCCTGGATGTGTCTCTTCCACTCCTCCTGGGAGGTCTCCCCTGGGAAGAGAGGCCATAGGCCTTGAAACTCACTTTCCCAAATCCCTTATGTTAAAACATCCAACTTGAACCCCAGGAAGACAACACCGAGGTCATAAGTGACCATATCGCCCCTTTTATCCTTTTCTAGGAAATCTCCAAGAATGTGGGTTGGTCTTCATCTCCTTGGCCCCAGCGCTAAAAATAAGGAAACTTAGCTTCCTCCCCTCTACCAGCCCGGAGTTTCTCTCTTCCTACAGCAAACAGCCCCAGATGACCTCCTGACCCAGCTCTCCCACTCCCTTGGGGTTCACCCCACAGTTCCCACTCACCCAGCTTATAGTATGGGGCATGCACAGCCCCCTTAACAGTGATGGGCACAGAGCCCAGTTTGCTGCTCTGTGGCACGATGATATAGAGCAGACCGCCCCAGAGGCAGGTAATGGACTTGGTGGGCTTGTCCAAGCAGCACCGGTTAATCACGAGCGGACCTCGGAACAGCTTGCTGGCTCTGGTCAGGTCATCCGTGTGGCAGCCGATCTGTATCTGGAGCAGAGAGATTCCCCCCAAAGTCACCTCGGGTGTGTGTAGGTGGAAAGGGAGGGCTTCCAGGAGGTGGGGACAGGAAAGGTCACTGGGCCATGACCCCATGCTAGCCCACACCATTCCATCATTCTTCGGGGCTGTGTGGACCGAATCATGTGTAAACGTCCTCCCAGGAGTGTCAGCTCCACACAAAGTTGTATTGAGACGCTGAAGTGAGAGACACCAGGTGTAGCACATGGCTAATACTGAGGAGGGCTGACTCCCACACGGGGCCCCTAGGTGTCTCTGAAACCCACAGAATCCTGGGTTGCCTACTTTGTTGTGGTGACTGGTCATCTTGGGAATGGGGCAGAGGGGTCTTATGGACTTCAGCCCTTTGCTGACTGGAGAGAAGCCCCAGGGGGAGGCAGTGTGACAGGCTCATGAACTGGAGGGAGGATTCAGTTCCTCCCATTGGCCAGGTCCCCATTCCTGGGCCCATGGAGTGGCTCCTGTACTGGGTGGAGTCCTGGAATTATTCTCCCAGGTTTATGCTAAACAGGTTCCAGAACAAGAGCACAGAACAGACCCTACCTGTCACAATGACTCTCCAGGGGGACAGAGCAGGATGGCTACTTAATTTTCAAACAGAGTGTGTGCATGGGTGTGAAAGTGACGGAGCTAGAGGGAGACTGGGGGAGCAAGGAACAGTCTTCAGTGTCATAGGAAAGAGGAAGAAAGACCTTGCTCTCCAGTGGGGGATTGGACAGGCACAGAAAGGGAACTGAGATGGACTGAACACTTCTGCATGCCAGGGCACTCTCCATTTGGTGCCTCTTGTTTTTTTAGTTTTGAAAACATTTTATTATTATTATTATTATTTTTTAAAGATTTTATTTATTTATTTGACAGACAGATCATAAGTAGGCAGAGAGGCACGCAGAGAGAGAGAGGGAAGCAGGCTCCCTGCTGAGCAGAAAGCCCGACGTGGGGCTTGATCCCAGGACCCTGAGATCACGACCCGAGCCGAAGGCAGAGGCTTTAACCCACTGAGCCACCCAGGTGCCCCTTTATTATTATTTTTTAAAGCAGGCTCCATACCCAAAGTGGAGCTTGAACTCGTGACCCTGAGATTAAGGGTCATATGCTCTACTGACTGAGCCAGCCAGGCACCCATTTGGTGCCTTTCTTATTCTCCACTCTGGGACATAAGAGAAAAGCACAAAGCTTAAGAGCCAGGATTTGGTTAGGTTTGAGTCCTGGGCTCTGAAATGTATCCTATCTATTGGCTGATTGATTGGAGTAATTGTGGACACACAATGTTAACATTAGTTTCAGGCGTACTAGATATTTTCAATCTACCTACACCCGCAGCTCAGTTGTCTCATCCTTAAAATGGGGTAAAAGTACATGCCCCAGGTTGCCAATAGGGTTTTTATGAGGATCAAAAAAGACGGTGACTGTAAAAGCAGGAACATTTGGGATCTGCGTCAAGTGGAGATGGGGTATGGCCTTACCTTCAGATCAGCAGAGGCAGCGGCTTCAGGCAGCGAGACCTCTATAATCTGCCTTCCAGGAATGTAGAGCCCGGTGCTCATCCAGCAATATCTGGTGCCTGCCAAAGCACGGGAAGGGCCGACTTTATCCCTCCTCTGTGACACCATCTCCATCCAGCTCTGCACAGCTCTCTCCCTTCATGCTGTCCTGACTCAACTCTTGCAACAGTTCCCTAAAGCCCCCATCCCCATCTCCTTGAAAGTGCATGGCCAAGAGTGGAGATGGCCTTCCGAAGTCATCAGGCCCCAGTCCCGCAGCCCCCACGCTGAGCCCTCCACCCCCAGGGCACCCCACACTGAGTGCTTTTTCCCCTCCCCGTTCAGTACCTGGATTGTTGCAGTTGACCTCAACGGTGATAGGAGACTCGGAGGGGCGCAGATAGGGGCTGCTGTACATGTCTTCAATTTCTGGCACTAACAGAGAGAGGTCACTTCCAGAGTGGGCCAAGCCAGTGGCCAGGGAAAGCATAGCCCCCCTGCAGCAGTCATTGATAACAGGGTTCTCTCGGGTTGCGACTGGGAGCCGATACCGACTCAGCAGCTTCCTCAGGAGCCGATGCACAGACATATATGCAGGGATGTCGTCGGCGGGGATCTGCAGGAAAGCCGCACCGTCTGGCCCCAGCTTGGCCAACCAGCCCTTTTCCACGTTCCCTCTTTTCCTGCCCATTATGACTTGGAACTCGGCCAGTGTGGTGCGGAAGTGATAGGTCCTTATCCCTGCTTTAGGCGTACGGAAGGGCCCTGGATTAAGGCTTTGGCTTGTGATGCTGATGCCAAAGGGGTTGAGGAGGAGGTTTCCTGGGAACCGAGCCAAAGGAGACACTCCAGGGTTCTTGAAGGCCCACCACCAGGCTTGGGCTCCAACAAACAATCCCCCACCCTCAGCTACGAACTCCTGCAGCTCTTTGACCCCCACATCACTCACGGGTTCAAAGCAATAGACACTCGCATCACTGGTCAGATGGGGCTCAATGCTGGTGTCTATGCCCCCGACTGCGAGCAAGCCGCTCAGTGTCCTGAGTTCCGTCTGCACCACGATCTTGCCTCGGCGGCCTCCATCCAGCCAGCGAACAGCATTGAGCAGAAAGGGGCCCAGTTTTCCCACGGTGAATAATACCTTGTGGCCAGTCACAACCACCCGGCCCCGGCCATAGCGAGCAGCCGCTATGACACAGCCGTGATAGGAATCTAACCCCAGGGGAAAGGCTAGAGCACCATGCACAAGAAGCTGGGAGGGGAAGCAATCTGAGTTGCTGATGTCCAGCTCTGAAATCCCATGCAGGAGCTCCTCTCTGTCCTCGGAGAGATCATCTTCACAGCTGCAAAAGATACAGGTGTTCTCTATTAAAGGAATGATCACATAAAGCTCTGAGAAGAGTCCGGGATACAGCAAGTGTCAGCTTTACTAATATGATCACCTTTAGCTCTCGAGGGAGAGCAAAGTAGACAAATCTGACCTCACTGGGTATGCAGGCTGGTCTGAGGGAAGACAGAGGGACATCCATTCTGCTCTGCTCCTTCTTGGAATGCAAATCCTCCAAAGGAAATCTCATAGGAAGCCCTGCTGTGTTTACCCAGTATTGTGTCTTAGCTATTCTAGATTTAAGTGTTCATTTCAGCCTTTTGGGCATTATATAAATAACTGAATGGGTCATCATGTTTTCATTCTTATAAAGATTATTTATAAATTTTATGCAGCCAATTTTCAAGTAAAGTCAACGGAGGGCTGAGTTGGTGGCACCACTGAAGAATCACTATTATTGCAAAAGGTGGGGCACGGGAGCTGGCTGGCTTCAACTCTAGTGGAGACCCTCTTGTTACCTGAACCCAAAGGATTGACTATCTACACCCAAACTCCACCCATTCATGGATGGCTTACAGGAGGCTCATATCCGTGCTATAAGGTGTTTCTCAGTCCATTTGGGCCTGTCTGTGGGCACCAAACCCCTGTAAGAAGACCTCAGGACATCCATGTCCCCCAAATGGGAGATGTAGCCCTGGGTACCTAGTGGGATCATTAGTGGGGAAGAGGTAGAATGACCTCTAAAACCTGGAGATCCCAGAACTGGCTATGCCACTTTTGTTAGGTAAACATTGGCAACATACAGCCAGAAGGCAGTGAGTGCAAACACTGGATGATGGGAGTCAGGTAGACAGCATCACTGTGTGTCTGTGATGTGCTCTCTCTGGTTGAAGAAACCCAGTTAACGGAAGGGAGACTGTGGTGCTCTTAGTAGGTATGATCCTTTCCTGAAGACAAAGGTATCACCCTACGAGTGACTCTCCTGCTCCTCGAAGCACTAACCACTGAAATCATTCAACTGGCTCTTCTTGCTCTGATTCAAGTTTACTGAACCACCTTGTGATGATAATCTCACTTCTGATGATCATCTGCCTACACAAAGAAGTCAGGGGCCAGGTCAAGTAGAATGTTCTAGTTCTGTGACGTATCTATTTCTCAAGCAACATCTTGCACAGTCTATCTTTACTTTGGTGATTCTAAATTTAAAAATATTAATTTTTAAAATTTTTATTACTTTGTACCTGTATACAAAATTAAAAGAAAATGTGTTTTAATTCTCATAAGGGGTTCTGTTTATAAATTTCATGTAATTAGTTGTTTGACAACCAAGTCAGTGAAAAGGTAATCTACTATGTTTTAGATTAATACACTGGCATCAAGGTTTATACACTAGCCTATTATGATAAGGTGGGTGATATTGAATGGGCAAACTTGAGGCCCAGACACCAAATCACTAGCATATCATCTAGACAATGACCCTAGGTGAGGTCCTGTTCATGCTTAGCTGGGGGCACCCTCAAAAACATCTGTTTTCTAATAGCCATGTTATTTCTAATAGCTATGGCTTTGGTACAGGGGAAGAGAAATTTTTGTTTCATAAAAAAATGATTTCATAAAAAATCATTTTTTTCTGAAAAAAAAATCTGAACTGGATTGTTTACTTTTCTTTCCCATTCTCTTCTGATATGAAACAGAAGTTTTAAAATCAGAATAAATCCATGATTGCACTGAGTTGTGAAAAGGGCACAATCAGTAAACTGGGTTAGTGAGAATTTATTGAAAATATAAATCAAATGGAATCAGACTGATCAGAAACCCATAAGCACAGAAGAATCTGTAACTGCATATATGTGAAAGAAAAAGATCAAGAAAAAAGAATAGGGATTATGAGAAAATACTGAGATAATTATTACTGAGAAAATACACTTCCATAACCAATAATAATCAACCTAGAATTTCAATGCCATTTAGCATTTAAATAAACAAGAATCAGCAAATATTTGATGAAAAGTAACAGCATGAAGGAGACGCACCAAAATAACCTGAGAAAACCAACCCCCAACGAAGCAATAGTGATAGATGGAGTGCACTCCTATTGTACATCCTGTGGGTTTGGACAAAGGCATGACATGTATCCATACTTATGGTATCACACAGAGTATCTTCACTGCCCTAAACATACTCCGTGTTCTGCCTATTCATCTTCTCATCCCATCCCTGGCAACCACTGATCTTTTTACTGTCTCCGTAGTTTTGCCTTTTCCAGACATCGTCTAGTTGGAATCATGCATTTAATGTTCCTACCTGTCTGTTCATGGGTTATTGGCTCTTTTCTTTTTAGCACTGAATAATACTCTATTGTCTGAACATACCACAAATGTATTCACTTCCTGAAGGACATCTTAGTTGTTTCCATGTCTTTGCAGTTATGAACAAAACTGCTACAAGCAGGTTTTTGTGTGGATGTAACTCATTTGCATAAATAGCAAGGAGTGTGATTGCCGGATCCTGTAGTGAGAGCAGTTTAGTTTTATAAGAAACTGCTAAACTGTCTTGCAGTGGCTGGACCGTTTTGCATTCCCATCAGCAGTGAATGAAGAGTTCCTGAGGCTCCACATTCTCATCAGCATTTGGTGGTATCTGTGTTTTGAATTTTCAGTTTACTGACCTCTCGTTGTTTTATTTTGCATTTCCTTGAGGACACATGATGTGACATGTCTTTTCATATGATTATCTGACATCTGTACATCTTGGTGAGGTGTCTGTTAAGGTATTTGGACCATTTTTTAATTGGATTGTTTTCTTATTATTATTTTAAGATTTCTTTGTATATTTTGGATAATAATCTTTTATCAGATGTGCCTTTTGCAAAAATTTCCTCCCAGTCTGTGGCTTGCCTTCTTATTCTCCTGACATTGTCTTTTGCAGAGCAGAAGTTTTTAATTTTAATGCAGCCCAGCCTATATTATTTCTTTCATGGATCTTTGGTATGATATCTAAAAAGTCATAGCCATATTCAAGGTCATCTAGGGCTTATTTCCTGTTACCTACTAGGAGTTTTATAGTTCTGTTTTACATTTATATCTGTGATCTGTTTTGAGTTATTTTGTGAAAACTCTAAGGTCTGTGTCTAGATTCATTTTTTGGCTTGTGGATATCCAGTTCCATCATCATTTTTGAAGACTTCCTTTGCTCCATTTTATGACCTTTCCTCCTTCGTCAAAGATCAGATGACCATACTTATGTGTGTCTATTTCTGGGCTCTCTACTCTGTTCAGTTCGTCTGTTCTTTCACAAATACCACTCTTGATTACTGTAGCTGTATAGTAAGCCCTAGATAGTGTCCATCCTCCAACTTTGTTCTCTAATACTGTGTTGAACATGCCAATTTTGAAAAATCAACTTCATTGACACGTAAAATTCATTTAAAGTCTACGTCTTGATGAGATTTTGTTAGTTATACACTTGTATAATCACAATAAAAATATATAGCATTTCCATCACCACAGAAAACTACCTTTTGTCCCATTTCAGTCAATCCAGTTCTCAGGCAACCACTGACGTGCTTGCTTTCAGTGTAAATGAGATCAGCCTTTTCTAAAGTTTCATATACATGGAATCATAAAGTATATCCTCTCGTGTTTGGCTTCTTCCACTCAGAATACATTTTTGAGAGCAATCCATGTTATTAAGCCCATTAGTAATCCATTCCTTTTTATTGCTGAGTAGTATGCCTCTAGGTAGATAGACATCCCACATTTTGTTCATCCATTCATCTGTTGATGAATATTTAGGTAGTAGCTTCCAGTGTGAGGCTTGCTACCATGAACATTCATACACAAAATTTTTGTGTGGACATGTTTTCCTTTCTTCTGGATAAATGCTTAGGAATGAGATGGTTGAGTAGTATGGTAAGAGTAGGTTTACATTTTTAAGAAATTGCCAAACTGTTTTCCAAAGTAGTTGTATCATTGTACACTCCCAACAGCGACATAGGAGATTTCCAGTGGCTCCACATTCTTGCGAACTCTTTGTGAGTCATTTTAGGGACAATTCTGGTGTGTGTGTGTGTGTGTGTGTGTGTGTGTGTGTGTGTGTATGGTATCTAATTGTGATTTTAATTTGCATTTCTCTGATGACTAATGATGTTAAGAATCTTTTCATGGGCTTATTGTCCTTTCATCATTTATCTTCTGTAAAGCATGTTAAAATATTTTTTTTTACTAGATTGTTTATCTTCTTATTGAGATGTAAGAGTTCTCTATGTATTCTAAATGCAAGTCCATTATCAGATATAAGTACTGCAAATAATTTTTCCAGTCTGTAGACTGCCTTTTTGTTTTCTTAATACTGTCTATTGAATTGCAGAAGTTATTAAAAAATTTTTTGATGAAGCTCAATTTATCAATCTTTTTCTCTTATGGCTCTTGTACTTTTTGTGTCCTCTCTAGGCCATCTTTGCCTACCCTAAGGTCACAGATAATCTCTCCTGTACATTCATTTAGAAGTTTTTAACAAACAAACAAAAAAATTGAAAAAAGTTTTTGAATTTTAGTCTCTGCATTTCAGTCCAGATCTTCTAAATTATTTGTTTTGTATGGAGTGGGATAAGCATCAAGATTCACTTTTTCTCCATAAGGGTGTCCATTTATTCCAGAACCATATGTTGAAAAGATTAACTTTTCCTCATAGAATTGCCTTGGCACCTTTGGCAAAAAATAATTGAGCATGGATCTGTGAGTCTATTTCTGAATCGTGTAGTCTGTTTCATTGATCTGTATCCCTATCCTATACCAATACCATAGTATTTTGATTACTTTAGCTTTCTCATAAGCATTAAAATTGGGTTATGTTAGTTCCTTTCATTTGCATTAGTTTTAGAGTCCATTTGAACTTTGGTTGGGATTATTGCATTGAATCTATACATCATTTGGGAGAAAGCTGACATCTTAAAATTACTGAGTGTTCTGATTCATCAATGTGGTGTATTTCTCCATTTCTTTAGGTCTTAATTTC